ATTGCTATAATAAAAAAAAAAAAGAAAAAAAAGAAAAAAAAAAGAGGAGACTGTGGAGGTGGGGAAGAATGGTTGGCACATGCCAGCTACCCAAGATTGTTCACCTAACAGTGAATGTTGGCCTTAATTAATCAAGTGATTAATTACTTTTACTAGATCCTAATCTTTTTGAATATTCCATTAATATGTGATTCTTGAACTTAGTCACCTTTTGTCTTTCTAGTTTAAATCATGCAATAACCAGCTTTTGCATGTGGATTTTTTTAAATAAATTATTATTAGTACAAATGTACAAATCTTTCCTAACTATTGGTGTCAATAGCTTATGTCAAGCCCACTAGGCATGAATCCATCAGTTGAATTTAGTACTAAAAAGTTGTTAAACATTGAATATGACTTGTCCTATTTTTATATGCTTTTTCTTTGTTGTATACTTGAAACTTCCGCAATATCACATCTTTTGTTTTTTCATATAAGGACCAAATTTTGGGACCATTAAAAAAAAATTCCCTTTTTTTTTTTTTTTTTTTTTTTTTTTAACAAGTTGAGAAAATGGATGTCTGTTAAGCTTGGCCATAACTTTTTTCTGTCTTTTCCATTTGTTTCTTTTTTAAGAATCTTCTTTGTAGTTAGCAACTTGTTTGCTTAAGGGGGTTTTATAAGACCCTTAAATACATATGATATCCAAGAAAACTGGCAAAAAGTCTTAAAACTTTTGTGACAATTACTAGCATTTATTGTTTCTTGAACTTCATTAAGTTCTAAAGTTGTCACTTTTTTCTTCTGTACAATATGAAAACCAGAAGAGGAAAAAGATCAGAGGTATGTTTTATTATATACTATAGTCATTAATTTGTTATTTAAGGAGATTGAAGAGGGATTTGTTTTGGTTGTAGGCATTTTGGCCTTCAATTGTGATGAAGAAATGGCTAAATATTCAGCCTAAGCTTTATGATTTTAGTGAAGATGAAGTTGACACTGAAACAGAGAGTGAGGATGATGGTATAGGATTTTTGTCTATAAATCCTAAAATTTTGTTTCTTGGTTTTTGTTTCAAGTGTTTGATTAGTTTCTATTTTTGGAAATTTTCTAGCATGTTCACTTAAAGATGAAAGGGTGCATGAAGATCATTTTTGCAGAACACCAGGGAAGCTTAATGAATGCCAGCCTCAAACTTCAGGTACTTCTTGAAATTCTGTTGCAGTGTTTCAGCCAGCTTGTGCACACCTCGACGTTCCACCTAGATACCTGCTACCTTATACCAGTCAAGTATTGGGTAACTTTTCCCACTAAGACTTAGGCAGATATGTAGAAATCACCTTGTGTTTGCACAGACGGAGCCTGTACAATCAAGTTTTTGATTTTGCTGAATTTCATCATCATGCCTAATTTTGCATTAGGATAAGAAGTTAAGATGCAATTTCGACTAATTGGTGGGCAGGTTTACCCGGTACCTCTGCTGGTAGGAGGTAGCAGGTACCAGTGGAGCATGTCTGCCCGGACACCACTCTTATAAAACGAAAAGAGTCTTCTGCTTTTCAAAAATAATCGCTATTGTGTATGCTTCTTCAAATTTCAATCATATGTAAAGCACCAGGAGCTATGTTGCACGGACTCTCTAAAAGTGCTATCGCACCCGCGGTAGAGGCGGAGCTAGGATTTAAAGTTTATGGGTTCTGAATTTGAAACCGAACCCATAGCTCGTTAGTTACTGGGTTCGCAATTAAGTATTTCTACATATTTAATGAAAGTTCTAATACAAATACCGGGTCTAAGCAAAAAGTCATTGGGTTCGTTCGAACCCGTAGATAACACCCTCCCTCCACCCTTGCGTCTCGGATCCTCCAAAGAGGATTGGGCATGGCACCCGGAGATATTTTTGGAGAGTCCGAGCAACATAGACCAGAAGACCATATTCTTTTCATATTGGTGAGGCTGTGTTCATATGGTGCTGCCTTGACTTGATCCTTGAGCCATTGAATGCATGGACATACAAATATAGTTCTATTTGTCCCTTTGATATCTCAACTATTCTATTTTCAAGATATGCAAATTAAGAAATGTTGGAATCATTTTAGGTTACAGTGCTCTCTACCGATATCAACTAAGCTTTAAATTTTTGTTCTGTAAACTATGTTGACTATTTGAACTGAACATATTCAGGGAAAACTTCAACCAAGTACTCATCAAGACACAAAAGAGGGAAATCAGAAACTCTGAGAGTTCAATACATTAATACAAAAGAAGTGAGGTTTGGCTTTAAATTCAGTTCAATTTGATTTGCTTTTGTGATACTAGGATCCATTTATAAGAATTTCCTTCCATTGGAGATTTACATATGCTTCGATTTTCCTCAGAGTTACTATAGGAACTTGGAATGTTGCTGGTAGACTTCCAGATGAGGATCTTGAGATTGATGAGTGGCTTTGTATGAATGAATCAGCTGATATATATATTCTTGGGTAAGTGTTCTATAAATTTGGCACTTTTCGATCAATTTGTATATCGCTCTTTCTCTTTCCCTTTACCGATATGAAATCCATCCAGGGCCGGAACTATATGTTCCAAGGGGTTTCAGTTGAATCCCCTTAATCGAAAAATTATACTGTCGAAATAGAGTTACTACAATTTATTTTGCATATATAAAAATTGTTGACCCCCCTTGACATAAAGGAAGCTTCTAGTGTAGGGATAAAGGTGGCTCAAAAATTGCTTTAGATCGCATGATTAAATCATAGGTGTGGTGGTTTTGCATTTTTCGGAATCCCCCCCCCCCCCCCCCCCCCCC